GTCCGACATTAAACAGAGCCCGACAGAGGAGGGAGGGGTGGGGAGGCTCTTGCCGTGCAGCGCTTCAAGAGCTGACCTGCGTCTGACCTCAAAGTGCACAAGCGTCCAACTTGAAGCGTTGGCTGCGATTTTGTAGCTGAAATCGCATTCGGTGTGAACGCAGCATAATGGTATGTCAACATTCTGAGATTCAAAGTCATAATTTCGACTTTCAAAGTAATTTATGACTTTCAGTCTCATAATTATAACTTTGAATCTCATAATTATAACTTTGAAAGTCGAAATTATGACTTTCAACCTCATAATGACATACCATTAGACAAATTATTTATTTTGAGTGGTGAAATTGTGCTTCCATCGTTTTCATTTTATTTATGTAAAAATATATTTTGACAACCTCTGTACAGGAATCTATGATGGGAGGACCACAACATCAAGCACAAAGCAAGGATAAGTTTGTCTTTAATCTATCAAAACAGGAGGTACTTTATACGTATACTGTCTTTTTCAAATTAAAAGCTGCTTTGCACTTAAGACTTTTGGTGAACAACCTAAAACTTGTTTACAGTCCATTTGTTTCTCTAACATAGACTGATTTTAAAAGGTAACTTCCAGTAGTTTTTTGTTTAATTCATTCAAATTAAAGGGACCAAACTCAATGTCTATTTGTTTAAATTCAAGTTACGGTAACATTATTAAGGCAGATTAAAATTATACATATTTTTAATTATTTTATTTTGAAGCTCTCCTGACATTTTCAGTCTGCTTTGTTTTTGAGTAAAAAGAAAGATTTTCCCAAAAAGTGTGAATCTGCAGCAGTGTTGATGTGTTTAACAAAATAAAATAAATTGGTATTTATTTTGGGTCTATGTGTCTGTATTTAAAGTTAGCTATGTTTTGATAAATTTAAATGAAATTAATGAAGTGCAAATTAAAAACATTAAAGGCCTAGCGTCTGGAGATTTTCTGCCATTCTTGAAAATCATCTGAAGCTCGGTCGAGTTGGATGAACAGATGTAATGACAGAAAGTAAAGACAGAAATTCAAAACTGGTCCAGAGGTTCATGACTCATGAGATGTTTAGTTTAGCTAACACATACAAATGAACACTCAGACAAAAATACGATCATCCATTCTGCATGGCAGTGGATGATTTAAAGGAGGCATTAAAGTTAGCTCTGGCCAAGACATTTCATGATAAACTAAAGTGAAGAACTCTGAAACAAATCATCCTCAACAAGCAAGGAAATAAATTCAGCAAACAAGAACAAGTGACCTTTATCTTTTGTGGGATTCTGAAGATGCAGGCTGTTTTTCAGCTGCTGGCAGCTGGACTGAATGTTTTGGCCTAAGAATAAAACTGGAAGTGAGCATGGAAGAACTTTGATTATTACATCAGTAATGGCTTATTTACCCTTCATTTATTTGGTTACTGCAATACTGCAGTGACAATATAATGGTGAGTAGTTATTCTGCACACAATTATATTTAAAAAAAGTGTAAATGAAGAAGCTACTTGTCTGCATTTTGGGAACATTTATAACACATATAACTAAACTGATAGAATTAGATCACCTAATTAACTTAATATTCTTGAAATGTATGATCATTGATTAACAATTTATTATCATACATTATTTAAAACAGGGAAATACTTCTTACATAGGATTCAATAATTTATAGCTTGTTGTTACTGCCAATTGAGTAATTTTTCTACATATTTTTGTATACTTTGGTTCTCAGTAATAACATTTTGCCATAAATACGTTCATGGTCTTTGATGTAGTAACACAGAATGACCTGCAGGTGTCACTAAGTATTCCCATACAGAAACTTGTCCTGATGCATCTCAGTAATCCAGGTAAAAAATCAAAAGGAAAAAAAAATTGTATAGGTCTTCTGGACGGGTTCTTCTTTAATGAAACATTTCGTCTCTCCTCCAAGAGACTTCTTCAGTCTGAGAGTTTCAGGCAAAATTCAGGCTTTTGAGTCCTGCCTCCAGGTGACTGATACTCACATCACATGGCTATCGTTCACACCTAATTAACACCTATTGTTAACAGGGGGTGGAGTGATACTGCCAATGGCAGAGCTGTAGGAGGGGGACAACTGAAAACGGAGGCCTCCACCTCTGTTTAATGATGGACGGTCTTTCTTCACAAAAATGGCTTCTTTTACTCCTCTCTCAAACCAACGTTCCTCTCTATCAAGAATGAGAACATCCTCATCTCTGAAAGAGTGACCGCTGGCCTGTAAATGAGTGAAAACTGCAGAGTTCTGGCCATTAGATGTAGCTCGTCTGTGTTGGGACATTCTTTTGAACAGACGAGCTACATCTAATGGCCAGAACTCTGCAGTTTTCACTCATTTACAGGCCAGCGGTCACTCTTTCAGAGATGAGGATGTTCTCATTCTTGATAGGGAGGAACGTTGGTTTGAGAGAGGAGTAAAAGAAGCCGTTTTTGTGAAGAAAGACCGTCCATCATTAAACAGAGGTGGAGGCCTCCGTTTTCAGTTGTCCCCCTCCTACAGCGCTGCCATTGGCAGTATCACTCCACCCCTGTTAACAATAGGTGTTAATTAGGTGTGAACGATAGCCATGTGATGTGAGTATCAGTCACATGGAGGCAGTGCTTAAAAGCCTGAATTTTGCCTGAAACTCTCAGATTGAAGAAGTCTCTTGGAGGAGAGACGAAACGTTTCATTAAAGAAGAACCCGTCCAGAAGACCTATACATTTTTCTTTCCTTTTCATACAGAAACTTGTCTTTTGGGACTGCTGTGTTTCCCCCCCCTTTATTGTTTTCTCACTGTTTTGTCCATAGGTTTGTAGCATTCAAATCAGAATTTCGTGTAAAATAAGTTTTGTGAAACAATGCACACATTCAAAGATGCTGCGACTTCCAGATCAACTGATTGTTAACTAACCAGACCACCTGTTGGTGATTTCCAGTTAGTTCACTGCCCAGCTCGGTGACACAATCAAGCTGATGTGTGGGAATTAGATCCAGTATAAAACACCGAAATGGTAAAAGTTAGGATGTTTTTAACAACCTTGTTTGAGTGGCCTGCCCATTTCAGGACTTTGGTGATGGAGAGTCCCAGGAATACAGCAGAGTGTACAGAAGTGGCATTAATAATGAGGGGATCACATTCTTATAAAGATCAAAAGCTGCCCTCAGTAAAGTCAGCTAAGAAAAATATTGGAACCTGAATGAGCGAACATTGGTGATGGTCAGTAGGGTCGCCACCTGGTGACCCCTGATTCACAGGGTCAATGTTTCAGATGCAGTTACAAGGAGTGACCAGCAGGTGTCACTGTGAATCTTTCATCGACACGGATTGACGTCATTGTTGAGGAATTTTCAAGATGGCGTCGGTCTGTAGCAGGAATGCCGCAGCTGCAACAAGCTGAAGGGATTTAATTAATCTCCCAGCCGGTGGAGTGCTCCACTTCTCTTCACTGTGGAAAGACTTGAATACTTAGAACCATAAAATGATTCTGTTAAACCCTCTGTACGTCTGGTAAACGCTGAAAATGTCCCCCGGCTAAAAATGGTAGCCCTTTCCTCCGAGAACAACAGGAGCTGTTGCTGTGGAGCTCCGGAGCCGCAGGAGGAATTTACACCCGGGGCCGACGCGCTAATGGCGGACTGAGTGGTCATGGAAACGGCGAAGGAGAACGGAGGCTCGTTTTCCGTGGACTTGAACGATAATGAAGAGGAGAGCGGAGGAGGAGCGGTGAAACCGGGTCACAGACCCTACACCGCACTCAAAGACCGCAGCTTAGCGCTGCTCGCCGGTGTCAGCGGGGGTCAGGCGGCTGTGAGGAACCGGAGCTATGCGACCAGAACCGAAAGGAATGTAAACAGTGACGACCCGGAGATGCCGGTGTCTGCAGACGGGCGCCTCACCGGGCGGTTTGCTCACAGCTGTATAATTTCGGGGGGTTGTGGAGGCCTGAACGGATTTTCTGAGTCACTCGGTCCGGATGATCTGGAAGCAGAGGGGGGAGGAGGGGGGCTGGCTTCCTGTCCAGCTGTGCTCGGGGATCTGATTTCCTCACAGATGCTGCAGGAGGAGGAAGGAGGAGAGACCCCGGAGTGTTTTGCCTCAGGAGGCTGCATCAGAACTTCAACTCCCCGTGACCGGCTGTCATGTCCGGCGAAGCTCCAGCAGATCTGCTCCGAGGTGGGTCTCTCCTGCCCGCGTGCAAACATGCCCAACGGGGTCGTTGACAGGCCGGGACGTGGAAGTCCTGAGGGGGACATGAAGCTGCTGATCCTGGGCCAGAAACTCGGTTTGTGCGACGGCGAGGAAGTGAAAGTAGCCAACGGTGGTTTGCACATTTTTAACCCCGCCTGTGAGTGGACCGGTTCGGGATTTAACCCGGCAAACAGAGACTCTGAGACCAGGCAGGGGGAAGAGCCCGGGTGGGGTCAGAGCGACCTCAGCGGGCAGTTGCACCTTCAGGAGCAGGAAGCATCACCTGCTGCTGAGCCTCCTCACTCTCCAACCCCGGAATCAAGTGCCAACCCCCCCTCACCCTGCCCATCAAGCCCCTTCAATGTGAACCGTGGCAGCACCCAGGAGGAGAATTTCAGGGACCTGTGTCCCCCCATCAGACCTCAGAGTCTCAGGACTAACCCCAACATCTCCGTGTCCCTCAGCTGCGACGCCACCCCGCTGTCCCCAGATGAGGACATGGGGTTTTACTTTGAGCAGGAGGGGTATGAGGAAGACCTGCGGACGGTTTTGGACTCAGGTCGGCGGCAGAGCGCCCCAGACCCCCTAAGCGAACAAACCGACTGCCAAGACCACAAGGTGATGCCCAAGAGGTTCGGCATAGCTGATTTCTTCACCAGGTAAAGTTGTTTCCTGTATGAATAATGTCAACACTCCTGAGAGTGACAGAACCAAACACCCCCCAGAACCAGGCTTTATTTACACTTCCTCAAGTAGAACTTTCTGATTAAAACAACACATTTACACCACTCTCGTCACACTCACCTGTTGTGAAGCAGGACACACACGTCAGCTCACTAATTCTGTAAATTAAAACCTTTCAAACAAGACTTAAACCACCTCCCTTGAGCTGCAGGATCGAGTCAAACTGAAGGCCCACGGGCCAGAAATGGCCCTTGTTACGATTTTATCTGATCATTCACAATGATACACTGGGCTGCCAGTTTGTGACTAATTAAGCCGTCTTTGTTTCAAAATAAAATTGCAAAAAGAAAACAGTGTTTTAGATGTGCAACGATACAGGAAATTCACAGTTCGGTTCGATACTGTAGTCTCACGGTTTGATATTTTTTCAATACAAAAAAAGAGAAATGTCCATGCCCCTTTTAACTTGTAATTTATTTATATTAATTATGAACATTTGTTTAACTTCAAAAGTACAGTTTTTAAATTAAATGTTGCTG